ATTTTGAATATTTAGTAATGGAAAGCATAAGAAAGAGAGACAATATGTTGTTCAGCATGGGCGTTGTAGTCAAAGAGATGTGGTGTTTAATCCCAGCCCTTAATTTTGAATATTTAGTAATGGAAAGCATAAGAAAGAGAGACAATATGTTGTTCAGCATGGGTGTTGTAGTCAAAGAGATGTGGTGTTTAATCCCAGCCCTTCTGTTTACTAGCTGTGTGTTCTTGGGCAGGTTATTTACCTTTATCTCTTAGCTTCGATTTCCTCCTCTCTAAAGTGGACTAAATAATGCCTGCCTTATAGACTTATAGTAAATGATATAATACATATATGTCACCTTTCTTAGAACCTGACATATGGCAGACACTCAATAAAGGTAGTTCTAGTACTTATTGTTATTACCTTTAATATTATTAACTAAATTTTGTGTATGACAAATTGCATTATCAGTAATTTCAGAGAAGAATCAGTTTTAAATGATTGAGGACTGATAATATAGATCAAATCAGATTCTTATGAATTCTATAATGTTTGAAAGTTGTATATGTTGAGTTAATATTGACATATAAAATTAAAGTGACTCAGAATTTGTTCAGACTCTGTTCTGCCAGCTAACATATAACTTTTATTTCAACAGGCTCAGAACTATGTAGCTACAGCCTAAAGCCTTCTGAATATACTACATCTTCAAAATCTTCTGTTCTTTGCCCCAAACTACCAGTTCCAGCGAGGTAAATTTTACTGCAAAGTTTAAACTTGTGACTTTTGTTTCTGTAGATAAATTTTAAACTGTATATGTTATTCTGAGGAAATCGTCACTTGATCATATCTGTTGCCTAAGTCCAATACTTTTACAACAAAATTTTGAAAGTGGAAAACTAGCAATAGAAATGACAACATATATTTTATATCTTTAAAAGAAATGCATAGATAAACAACTTTTCTTGTTCTCAGATATTTTAAATTTCTTTTAGGGGCTTACTTTTTTTTGTTTTTATTTTTATGCCATAATTTTTAAGTATACAAAACTGCTGAATCATCATAAAATCTGCAACAAATTTAGAAACCGAGTCTCACAGTCTCCAAAGAATCTTTGAAGTTGATCCTAGTAATCCTTACTTTGTAAATTATAAAAATATGCCAGTGATTATTCTCCATAGTTTGTTTCAGGTAATATACTTTAGGTACATTCTCTGTACTAGGCTTTTTGCCATATCTTATCCAATGTCATATTCAACAGACATTTATTATCAAGTACCTACTGTGTGTAATGGATACAAAGATGAAATGAGAAATGTTCTTGGGAAGGATCTCGCAGTAGTTATAAATACAGCACATTTTAAAATTATAAATAGGTTTTTAAAAAGGAAACAAACTCTCAAGCATTATAGAATATATCCTCAGAATTAGGTATATGTATGTATATGTGTGTGTGTGTATGTATCTATACACACATGCACACACACCCTTTGGAGCATGTCTGATCTTGAGAACCTTGGTGTATATTTCTAACAATGTATAACAAGAGTCAACTTCTCCAGGAAAACTGATTGAAGCCACTTTATTTTATCTCAATATATTATAGTAAGCTATTGGGTAACAATATTTGAGACTCATGTCTACTTTCTTTGGATTACTTATGGGTATAACTTGTGCTTTATTAACTTGAATTTGAAATATTCTGTTGCAATGCAGAAAAAGGATATATCAGTTAAATTGATTTCCAACTCTTTTCATCTCATCAAGTTGCTATTGAAATTTAAAGCCTATAAGCGTAAAAATAAACAGACTAATTTAAAAGATACTCAGTGAGAGGGACCTATAAATTATGGCCCTAGACCAACAGGTAAGGAGTTTGTATTCATCAAAACTGAGAGCATTAGGGAGGCTGTGAAAGTAAAGAAAAATAGGTCCTTTGTGTAGAGTCATTGGAGAAGAATTACCAATATAAAAACAAAAAAAGCTCTATACCTTTATCTACACAACTTGGTAAAGTTTGTTTTAAATACATACTTTGAGTGAGTATAGGGTCATTCTTTCAAGGCCAAAACATGTTATGAAAAGATAATCAGAAAGCCTGAGTGTGAGAATGAAGTTACTCTGCTCCTGAATAATATGGGTGGGATGGGGGAGGGGGAAGCTGGGCTCATACCGCACATCTTTCCCCACCTCTGACCTCCGACTACACCATGTGAGGACTGCCCATTCCAGTTTTGACTGCACGCACACACACACACACAGCATCCTACACACACACACACACACACACACACACACACACACAACCGTCCTAAGGGCACTCGCTAGAAGACAAAGCATAGTATTAGGGGCATAGGTTTTAGAGATGGACAGACCTGGCTTCTAACAAGGTGATCATCGTCTAATGGCTCACTGATCTAAGATGCAATGCTGAAACTGTACCATCTGAAAAGTGACTATATATGGTGTTCATGCTGTGTTTAAAGATCCTTATGTTTTACTTATTTTAAGTACCTCACACTCTAATTATCACTTTTGTCTAAACCAAACCTGTTGGAAAATAAAAGATAAGAAACAGTTGATAAAAGGAAGGCAAATTAGGACCTTGTAAATATCACAGTTATTTAGTGTTTGTCAAAGTGAATGGTTCTGAGAACAAGAATAAATTTGTTTTAATAAAAGAATTTGGGGTGCTACCCCATTCCACACGTAGCATTAGATAGCAAGTCCTCCAAAATGAATAAACCTGTTCTCTGTTCTTAAATCATAGTCTAGTAGAGACTTTGGTTTTGGTGACTTTTTTTTAAATGCCAAAGACCAGTCTTAGGCAAAACTGTGATGCAGGCAAGTGGTCCTCAGCATCTTTCCATCTCTTTTGCTGTCCTCCTAGGAGCATCCTAGTGGGACAGAGGAGCATGAACTTTGAGTCCAGATAAGTCTGGACCTGAATTCCATGTCACCACTCTCTATTTGTCACCTTGAGCAAGTCCCTTAACCTCTCTGTAAACTGAGTTGCCTTATGTGTAAAATGGGAATATTCATGCTCTATCATGGAATTGTTGTAAGAATTAAATAAGATAATATATGTTAAATATCCATTATTGTGCTTGTCACTTGGCTAGGAAGTATCATTTCTCTCAACTTTTAGAGCCTCTCCCTTTGTCCCCAATTTCCTGGGTAACCAGGGACTTTCTGCCACTGAAGGCAGTTCCTGTTCTAGAGAAAAGCAATCGTAAATTATTTGTAATAAAACACTAGTGACACATAATAGCCAAACAGTTGCCATTCCTGACAGCTTTTGAATTTCAAAAGCAAATGCCTAGAAAGGGCGTTTTTTATCCAAATTTGTAACTTTTTAATGGTGAAATGCCAAACGTGGTAGAGATAACAGTCACAGCTAGCCCATATGTTTATAATGCTTACTGTTAGGTGTAGAGCCAGAGAAAACAGCGATAGTAGAAACAGACCATATAAATTCAGCTGGTTCATCATTTATTTGGGCATCTCTGGATGCCAGAAAGGTTACTAGGTGCTGGGGAAAAATATAATATAGAGAAGAGAAATTAATAGCTAAGAAGAAAATGTTATCTATTCGTATATTTTAAATAGAAGATTCAAGAGTAAATTAACATTTATAAATCAGTTACTGTGTGCCAGCCACCATACCAAGTCTGTCATGTGTTTTATTTTATTCAACCCTCACAAGAACCTAAAGAATATTGCCCCCAATTTGCAGATGAGGAAATAGAAGATGAGAGAGGTTAAGTTACCCAAGGCCACACAACTAATTGTTGTAAATCAGAATTTGAATCCAGGATCTTGTAGAGTCTATACCACAGTTAGTGTAAAAGATAATAATGGTAATAAAAAGGAGTACAGAAAGAGAGAAAAGAAATAAATGAAATGTGTGAAAACCATATTGCCATTAGATTCTTGACTTATTTCCTGTTTTTTGTGTGTCAGAACCCTTTATTATTATTCTTTCTTAAGTAAAACTTTTAGCATGAAATTGTTTATAACTTGAGGTTCTAAAATAATTAGAACCTCCTGCCTTCTCTCGTGAAAGCATATGGATAAGAGATAATAGGCATTGTTTGTCATCATACTTTGGGGAGCTCATTAACTGTGATAATCTTGACTTAAAGGCAAATGGACATTATGTTTGCCAAGGTAAGATACAATTTTCCTATGAGTGGCTAATTTTTTAAAATCTTTAAAAGACTCATTATAAATTCAATTTGTTCTTGTTGACTAATGTTTCAATAATGTGAATCAGTTCCTAATAGGACAGCATTGACTTCTTAAAGATTCAATATTTGATGGGCTTTGAAAAGTAGACAGATTTACTGTAAATAGAATACTTTATGCTTGTCCTTTTAATTAAAAAGCACGGAATGTGTCGTTTAGGTTAGATACTAAAATGGAAATGATCTCACATACTAGGTATTCAGAAGTATTATTTTCTCAGAGTTACATAAAATCAATTAATTCATCTCATCCCAAGTTCATTATATCACATGGGATTTAAATGGTAACATATAAACCATTTCAATGCCATAATTACCTATATTTTTTTAAATAAGAAAGTAATTCAAGTGTCAAAACCCCATAGCTGGTGGAGTTGTTTTTGTTTGGGAAAGAGTTGAGAAAAAGAATATCAAATAAGGGAATCTAGTTCTTTTTTACTTTAAAGCAAAAGTACTTTATTTATTTTTGAATAATGTGTCCATATATTATCTCCTCTTTTATTTGCCTTCTATTTCTGTTATTGATTACTACTAAGCAGATTTTGACTGTCAGCTAGACAATGTAGTTAATCATCTTGTGCTAATTTTATATCTTTAAATTTAGAACTGTTTTTTTAACTGACATAGATTGAATTATAGGGTAAATGACTATTGTTATTTTGCTCCAATTCTTTGAACAATAGTTATAAAAGGACTCTTTCCAGTTGGCCAAGTTTTATATACAATAAAAATGACTTGAAAGGGTAAGTTCAGAGCAGATATTACTCAGGACTTTCTCCTAAATGAAGAATTTTGAGAGTACAGTCCTTCCCTTTTCAAATAATCTGTCCTCATCCAAAATTTGAAAAGCAGAAAAATACTGAAAATACTGGGTATGCTGATCCTATATAATTTAGAATCACTGATTTAAGGGTGGGCTATTTTATCATAATGAGGATGATCTGTAAAGACTTACAGAGTTCTTACTCCTACCCTTTTGGCTAACAGATGGAAAAAGTGAGAAAGAAGGAGATGGGGTGACACAACACAGCTGTGCAGTGTTAGGAGAATATAGGTTTTTACAGTTATCTGACAGGAAAAAAGAGAGCAGGGCCAAGAAAATTAGTGGGTACTAAAAACAGGAAAAAGACAATATCCTTAATGTGGATATATTTTATGTTCAAGGTTGAGGGCAAGTGAGTTAGAGTCTATATCAGAGATGATAGGATAATAAATAAAGAGGATGAAGATGTAGGTAATCATGAAGCAGAGAGGATTTTAGTTTCGAAGGATAGAGAACCAGGCTTTATTAAAAATATGATTAGAAAAGTCCTTAAACAGAGACATTAACTTGGTAGGAACAGCATTTAGACATCAGAAAAGAAACAGGTGAATCACAACAGAATTGTCAGCTTAAAGATTTCTGTCTCAAATCAGTGTCCATTGACTGAAGAACTTATGGTTAATCCTTTTAGATTCTTATAATATTTCTAACTAAATCCATTTTATTTAAAAGTGTTCTGCACTCTAATATCTTTTTACATCGTTAGGGAAACAACTTTTGGTCAAAAAACCATGACTTGAATATGTGTAATACAAGCCTATTCAGAATGCTCTGGCTTCCTACAATTTCTGATAAAATATCAAATCTTTGGCATTAATTTTCACTAACACCATCTTGGAAGTGTACACAAATACACACACAGGAAAACTGATACATAGTTAACTCACATTCTTATTTGAAAATAAATATACTTATGTTTAAGGAGGAAATAGATAGTGTTTTGCTTTAGGCCATACAAAATTTCACTAACACCATCTTGGAAGTGTACACAAATACACACACAGGAAAACTGATACATAGTTCACTCACATTCTTATTTGAAAATAAATATACTTATGTTTAAGGAGGAAATAGATAGTGTTTTGCTTTAGGCCATACAAAGTTGCTTTGCTGAAATTAGAAAACTTGGAATTTGGTGCCCAACCATGTAATCTTATCCAGTAATTGGACCAAAATACAGTGCCAGCAACGAATGAGAACCCATTTATATCATTCTGGTCAAAAATGTTATGTTAGAGCTCTGAGTAATAGTCTTATGAACGATTCTGAAAATGTGCAATTCATGTTAATGATGGCTAAATTTTAACTTAATGTACACATAAATGTGTATTTGTGCATGGACATACATATGGGCTCCCTTAGAATCCAAACAAATCACAACTGAAGGCATATACACAGTTCTTTGTTTACAATCTCTCATTGATTAGATGTATACCATCCTCTCAGAAGTTGAGGTAGAACTGTTATAACAAACCATTTTGCCACAGTTTATACACAGCTGCATTTCTTCAAATGTAAAAGCTGCAGTCTACATAAGCCTGATATAAGTGATTAAGTAATTGGTTATTTTACCCTTTTTTTTTTTTTTTTTTGGACACAGATAATCTTGGATTAATTAAGTAACATATAAAAAGAAAAAAAAATAGCCTGGAATTTCATGACCCTAGGAAGCCAGATATTTTTCACTTTTTTGGCAGAGACGTCATCGTCACAATTAGATATAATGTTTCCCCTTCTATTATTACATTATAAGCATTTCCTTCTATTAGTACTTATGGTTATTGTTTTAAATAGCTGCATATTATACTGTATGTTGATGTCTCAGCATGACTTTGTTTATATGAGTGGTATTAAGTGTGTGCCCTAAACGCCTTTATTAATCAGAGGTTTCGTATGGTGTGCTGTTAGAGGAAACATTTTATTAATGGTGGCACATTTTAAGTAAAAGCATGTGTGTTTTTTATTTTTAAATTGCTATGGCAAAAATTCATTTTCAGTTCGATGGAGTATATGTTTGTAAGCTTTGTCATCTGCCTGTTGATTGGTAGATGTGCAGGCTCCTCAGTTTAAGTGTTTGGTTTTGCTTTTGGTAGTTCTGTGTGTGTATGTGTGTGCCTGTGTGTGTGTGTGTGTGTGTGTTTTCAGAAAGGGGGGGTAATGTCTTCTGTTGTAACATGTATTCCACCCTCTGATAAGACTTATGTTAAGATTTGCATCACTACCCATGACAGTCATCTTCATAGCATTAAGCGCACAGCTCTTAGCTCCCATAATGATGTGTGGAGGGTGGAATGTATTGCAGCCATATTCACCTTTCATTTGTGTGTTTGATGTGGCATTTATATTAAGTAGGAGTAATTTTTTTTCTGATTTTTTTTCTTGTGTCACCAGTGCACCTATTCCATTCTTCCATCGCTGTGCTCCTGTGAACATTTCCTGCTATGCCAAGTTTGCAGAGGCCCTGATCACCTTTGTCAGTGACAATAGTGTCTTACACAGGCTGATTAGTGGAGTAATGACCAGCAAAGAAATTATATTGGGACTTTGCTTGTTATCACTAGGTAATTGTTTTTCTCATTATTAGCTATTGCATAGTACTGCAGTAGAAGACTGTTCTGTCTTTTAAGCAAAATATGAGTACAACTGGGGATACTTGTAAAATGTCTAATTTCCCATAGCCAAAATAATTGTTTCAGATTATATATAGTTATAAGTATGTACACATAGATATGTATATATATCTGAAACTCATTTCCCTTTTTTCTTTCATTGGAGAAAATCGGTGTTTTCCCAAACTTTGGTTACTTAGCCTATAACTACCTTTAATATGTTGACAGGAGGCTTCTTTTAACGAATCAACACCCTCTGTTTTAGTTACGATTCCAAAAGGTATATTTATTTATAAAAGAGGATACATATTCTCTTATATACTCCCATCTGACAGCATAGATTTCTGATAGATTAATTTTGAAGTATGTAATTTTTCTTTTCATTACTACAGTTCATAGTATCAATGTATTGCTGGAAAAATTAGGAAATCTCCACTTTTAGCCACTGAGTTTTCTAGTCAATAAATAGGTAATATAATCATACAAAAATTTTATTTTCAAGATGAAAACTCCATTTATTATTCTAGAACTATGTGTAGACAAATCAGAATTTATAGGCATTTTTAGTTGTGAGAAGTAAACTGTGGTAGGAACTAAACAACTATTTAATTATATAAGTAAAATTAGTGTTTGTGTTTGTTAGCAGCAGTTATAGTTGTTGAAAAGATACAAGCTGTATTTCCATCTTTCCTGTCATTAGAGAGTATTTTCTTTTTGCTTAGGTAGTACTTGACTCAATTGAAATAATGCTGTCCACATGAAAAATCTATTTCTGTGGTATTTGAAAGGCTCCCATCTGTTTTTGGTTCCTGTACATTTATTGCAAAAGTGAGTACCTTAATAACATTACCTAGACACAGATCCTAACCATTTATTTGATTTTGCAAATGGCCCAAAGAAACTTGACTATTAATCTAGCTTTATATAAAAGTTTCTGAAAGAGTTGAATACTTTAACAAAAAAAAAAAAAAAAAAAAAAGTCCAACCTTAAAAATAGTGACAATGATGTTGTTAAGCCTTTGGAATTCCATTGTTTATTAGAATGAGTCTCTTTTGAGGCTTAAGAATGTAATATAAAAGATCTTTGTTCTTTTGTTTCTGAAAGGGGCCTTTAGATAATTAAAACAATTACAAATTATGATTTTGGAAATGTACTTCCCATGTAAGGGTTAAATCCCTCCTTTCTTTTTAGAGATTTTTACTCAAGATTATAGCATATTGGGATTTCTCTTGGGACAGGTAGAGGAGTTGGCCAAAAACTCACTTAAACTAAACTTTGTTGCTTTTTGCTTCTCAGTCAGGACCCCTGCCCCCAGTTGAGAAATGAAGTCAGAGGAATTTTGGCCTGAGTAGGCTTCAGGATATTATTCCGTAGGGTCAGAACATCCCTTGGAATTCTAGAGGAAAAACAGCCAGAAAAAGATAAAATACCATTTAGCTTGTTGACTGACCATCAGAGAAGTTGGTCCTAAAATGCATAGATTACTCAAGGAATAATTGTAGCACCTAATTTAACTGATCTCTGTCTATGTGTGGTAATTTTTCTTGTCGCCAACATGACATGTCATTCTCTACACTTTGTGTGCTGGCCTGTATGTTTGCATGTCTGATGCCTTCCCCGTGGTGAATCCACAACAGTCTTATGCTGTTTTTGAGTCACCATGTGCATTTGCATGTATTCTTTTCTGTAGTTTTGTAGTTTATAGACCCACACAGTTAAGCGCCTTTTGTTTGAGTTGATGCTATTTAAGTGCTAGAAGTAGCAAGGTCAAAATGCAAAAGCAGAGTTTTCTTTCTTACCTAGATGGTGGTCATGAACTAGTCAATAGCAACAAATTATTTCCCCGGGAAAAAACAATTGAAAGGGTTTCTCTTTAAATTTTCCTATGTTTTCAAATAATATTCTACATGTTCTCTATTTATCTTCCCTGCAGTTCTCTCTATGATTTTGATGGTGATAATCAGGTATATATCAAGAGTACTTGTGTGGATCTTAACAATTCTGGTCATACTGGGTTCACTTGGTAAGCTATTTTTTTGTTTGTTTTATATGGTATCTAACTATTTCCATGATAGAAAGTAGAAATATAAAGAAGAATATAAAAATTTTATTTTCACATGCTATATCTTCTCTGTAAAGAAGAGTGCTTACTTTTGCCTTAAAAATTTTTATAATTATATTTCCCTCCACTTATTTCACCACTTTTAGTGTTGAAGTCAGGATCTTTTTTTTTTATGCATATGTATATGGATGCATATTATACAGTTAAAATTTTTAAGCTAAACATGAAACTCTTTTAGTAATCGAATTTGTTTCCATTTACATTATAATCCTAACTGGTATGCTTGGTCTTACTGTTATTATCTGTTTTATGTTTTCCTGAAATTTATGCTTTCATATTTTGTTTCCCTCTGTTTACTATATGGACTATGTTTTCTTTGGTTATCTTCACCCTCACTTTGGATGGTATATATTATATTTTTACTTCTACAGTTGGTAACCTATATGTTTTCAGAAAATATTCTTCAGTCTAGAATTATATGATTATTAAAGTCTGAAATGAAATGGTATATGTTGAGTTTTCCCCGACCTCCTTTAAATTTAGCATAAAGTTTTCTTTCTTTCATCCCCTACTCCCTTCTGCTCACGTCCACTTTTTTGCCCTTATTAAATAATCTGAGCTTTTTTTTTTTTTTTTTTTTTTTTTTTTTTTTTTTCTTTTTTTTTTTTTTTTTTTCTTTTTTTTTTTTTTTTTTTCTTTTTTTTTTTTTTTTTTTCTTTTTTTTTTTTTTTTTTTCTTTTTTTTTTTTTTTTTTTCTTTTTTTTTTTTTTTTTTTCTTTTTTTTTTTTTTTTTTTCTTTTTTTTTTTTTTTTTTTCTTTTTTTTTTTTTTTTTTTCTTTTTTTTTTTTTTTTTTTATTTTGTCAACATACACTGTATATGATTATTATGGCCCGTCACCGCCACCTTCCTCCCTCCTCCCTCTCTCCCCTCCCCCCCAAGAATGTCCTTTCCGTTTGCTTGTTGTAACAACTTCATGGAAGTATAGTTGTTAATCTGAGCTTTTGTATTCAGGTTATTATTAAAGTTAAAATATTATTTTCACCTACTATATATTTTTTTAAACTTTGTTGACCTTTGTCTTGAAGCTTCATTACTATATACGTATTTAATTTTAGGTTTTCCTGGACTAGTTTTAGTAGGAACTGCTGGTCCTTCTTCCATAAAACTTTATTCTGGACATCTTAATTTCAGTTCATCTGTATATTGACTGGAATGTGAATTCAAGTAACTTGCTTGTGAAGGACTTATGGGTTATATTTTTTCTCAAGTCTTGCTTATCTAAGATCATCTTTGCCTTTACATGTGAATATTGATTTCATTGTGTATAAAATTCTCCAGGTACAGTATGTTCCCTTGTGTCTATTTTATTTCAAAGAAAAACTCAGAGACCAGTCTAAATACTATTCCTTTACCCGGAACCTGTTTCACCTACCTAGATGTTTACAGGATTTTTATTATATCCTTCTAATTTAAAATTTTTTTTCTAATTCTGGATCTTAATTATGTTTGCCTATGATCTTTTGGGGGGGATCTTTTTCAACTCTGAAAATTTTTCTTTATTTCTATATTTGATTATGTTTCTGTTCCAATCGTTTTTTTCTTAAGGTCATTGTTTATCTTGTTATCATCTTCTAAACTATCATTTTAATTTTTTTGTCATTTTTCATCTTTCCTTTATAGTCATGAAGAGCTCTTCAATTTTTTTTTCATATCACTGATTTAGTTTTTTTCTATCAGTTCTGTACTTGACAACTTACAATGAAGATCTAAATTTTGTTATTCCAATTTCATTTTATTTGTAGTTCTTTCTTCTCTCATCCATCTTTCTTTTTATTTTGGCTTGTAGCCTTAGTATCTAACTCAATTTTATCATTTGTAAAGTAGAGCTAATAATACCCAATTAATAGTGTTGTGGTGACTAAATTTGGTCATATCTGTGAAGGACTTAGCACAGTTACTAGCACAAATTTGAAGGTTTAATAAATGATGTCTACTGTGGCTCTTAAGAACAATGTCCTCCTCTATTTTCCTTGAACTTCAGCTTTCTCTCATAACTTTTTATTAACATATTTTCTTCCATTTTTGAAGATATTGAAGTTTTCCGAACAGCTTTCTTATACCTGCAAAATTTTATGATAGAAGCATTCCCCATGCTTTGAAATATTTTTCATAGATTCCTGCTTCTTTTGATTTGTTTACTTATCTTCAACAAAAGATAAATTCATACTCGGTATTTGCAAAAAGATAGGGTGTGGAATTTCCCTTTGACTCCATTCACTGTTAAGTGCAGATGTGGTGTGCACAGACCTTAGCCCCGTTTTTCTCTCTCAGGCATTTGTCTTATCTACCTACACTTTCTCACCACTCTACTCTGAATCTTCCATTTCCTTACTGTGTCCTACAAGGCCTTACTCTATGGTCTGGTCCCCTGCTACCCCATCTACTCTGAATCTTCCATTTCCTTACTGTGTCCTACAAGGCCTTACTCTATGGTCTGGTCCATTTCCTTACCATGTCCTACAAGGCCTTACTCTATGGTCTGGTCCCCTGCTACCCCGCCGTCCCCATCTCTTACGACTTCCCTCTCGCTCATTGCTGTAGCAGCAGTGGTCTCTTTCTTCCTCTCATAGTAGACGTGATCTCATGTCAGCATCTTAGAACTTTGCCTGGAACACTCTTCTGTTAGAAAGTTTTACAGATTGCTCTCTCTGTGTCTTTTCTTCCCTTGCTCAGATATGTCTTACCAGTGAGGCCTTGCTTACCCATCTGATACAAAATTGCAATGCTTTCCCAACCCAAGCATTTTCTGTCCCTCTTACCAGGAGATTTTTTTCCCTTAGACTTAATACCCTACGTTTTTACTTGTTTTCTTATTTTGTTGTTTCCCCATTACTATATAAACTCAATGTGTGGCGAGAGTGGGGACTTGGTTTTGTTTACTGCTCCATCCCCAGCTAGAACAGTAGGTGCTGCAGGCACTCAAAATGTTTGTTGAACAGATTGAGTGAAGATGTCTAATGCAGCTCTTATATGCAGATAGGTTTGCCTCCCTCTTCAGTCTGGTTCTCTGAATCTCTGAACTAGTGTTGGAGATAAAAAATGCCCGTCTCTAGCATGCAGTGCTAGCAGAGATTTCCTGTCTTTGTTCCTACTTTTGGTAGGAACCACTCTTTTGATTTTCATGTATTCCTTGTACAAAATTTAATCAACTGCATGACTCTATGTTAGCGCTAGGCACCAGGGTTACCGTGATGAGTGCAACAGAGATCTTTGCCCTCCCAGGCTTCACTGATGCTTTCTGTGACCCTTACTTGCTTCTTTTGGCCTCCCCAGCTTAAGCGCTGAGGTTCTCTTTCTTAGTGATCAATTCTGCTCAGGGGTGTCTGTTTTCACTGGCTCTCTCTCAACTTCATAGTCAATTAAAAATACATTTGAAAGAAGTTTATTTGATACAGTGAAGAATGTGTAAGTGCGGCGACACTGAAGGTTGCGATCCGTTGCCGGACACGGAAAAAGACAAAAAAAAAAAAAGAAAGTGAAAGGTAGAAGATTCTAGGATTTATTAGTAAATTGATAATTTTTTTATGCTTAGCTTTAAAGGACACTTGATAACCATAATATACAGTTGAAAGTAAGTACTGAAAGAGAGATACAGACTGATAAAATATTATTGGGATTCAGAGAATGATACTTAACAGGTTTTGGAATGAAGGATTGTGTTAAGGATTTCCACCATTTTCAGTTTCTGTTTTCACCACTTAAAACAGTAATTGGAGCCTTTCCGTCTGTTCTCTCCATACAGGTCATCCTGTTCCTGATCATGTTGGTCATGCGCAAACGTGTCGCTCTCACCATTGCCTTGTTCCACGTGGCTGGCAAGGTCTTCATTCACTTGCCACTGCTGGTCTTCCAGCCCTTTTGGACTTTCTTCGCTCTTGTCTTGTTTTGGGTTTACTGGATCATGACACTTCTTTTTCTTGGCACTACCGGTAAGAAGATGTGTTGCTTCTTTCTCTTGGCGACCAATCTTATCAACATTCAAATATTTCAAAACATCAGAGAGATAATTCTTCAGATGTGTGTCGATGAAGTTCCTATAGCCATCAGAACTAACAATGGAAATAGCTCTTCAATAACCTACTCCCTATTCATGATTTTTAGAGCATCCTAGCAGGGTGGATCTAGGCCAGGTAAGGCCTGGAATTGCATCCTAATTTTGAGATGGTCATGAATTTGAACCTAGCTAGAGCTCTGAATGATGTTCATAGATTCTCAGACTTGCTTCTAGCCATCAAAGGTTAAGCCAAAATGGAATTAATTGTGAGGATTAGTATAAGGATAGTAAACTTGTATGTAACATATGTCTCCATTCAGCACACACTCACCAATCAAATATAATATTAATTTCTTTACTTTGCTTATGATTTAGGTCTATAATTATTGGATAAGTAATATCTGAAAAAAATCAAAGTGTTTGAATATTCATGCCTTAACTAAATAACTGATAATGTAATAAGAACTTTATTCATATAGAACATCTCTTAAAAGCTTTATATGATCTCTTTGAGGAAAGCAAAATACATAATTATACAGGTTTAATTTCACAACTTTTCAAGTGATAATTATTTTTGTTCCTTAATAAAATAGCACTGAGATCGTAAAGTATGTGATTTGGGGGTAGGGACCTATCATTGGAAGTCAGATTAATCTCTTATATTTAATAGCCATATTTCTTTGTACTTTATGTGCTGCTTCTTTCTTTCCTTGATATTTTCCTAGGCAGTGCTGTTCAGAACGACCAAGGCTTTGTGGAGTTCAAAATTTCTGGGCCTCTGCAGTACATGTGGTGGTACCATGTGGTGGGCCTGATTTGGATCAGTGAATTTATTCTAGCATGTCAGCAGATGACTGTGGCAGGAGCTGTGGTAACATACTATTTTACTAGGTGAGAATTTGTATTTGTCTGAAAACTCAAGTCCATCTGAGCAATTGTGTCTATAGGGTGGAGGGGAAGGAAATGAGACTGAGGCTGTAAGAGTTTCATTTCTTCAAAAAATAGTTGAAAATGAATATGACAGAATGTTATAGATGATAATTCTGGGAGGTAGGAAAATGGGAGGTTTTATTTTATTTTTTGTATTTTTCTGTAATTGTATCAGAAAATTTATCAGAACAGCAGGTCATGTTATAACTTATATTTAGCAGAAAAATAAATCTTGCAGTAGTGCCATATGTACTTTTGCTTTATATAAAAGTCCATCAAAGGATTACAAGCCTTTTATATTTTTTTGGATCAGAACTAGAATTGTAAGTCCCCTTTGCTAACTTCAGAGCTGAGTATTAATGCTATAGTTTTCTTTTGCAATGAGGTGCCAGGTCTAGATTGAACATCTTTTTAAATTTCATTTTCCGAATGTACGATTAACTCCATAAGTATTCACTAATAAGAGCTTTCAAAGTACAGTTTTATTTAACTTCAAGTGTGAGAGCATCAGAACCCATGAAACTACCATAGAGAAATTAAACATTAATTTTATATGGTGCATTCATAGCATTTGTATTAGTTACATATTACTTTGCCATTTTGTCATGGAATAAGAATAATGAATTGATTTTTCACCGCATTGGTCTGTAACCTGTACCTGTGTTTCCATCCTGGTTTAGGCTTTAATTGTCTTTTTGTTCATTTTTAAAATAGGGATAAAAGGAATTTGCCATTTACACCTATTTTGGCATCAGTGAATCGTCTTATTCGTTATCACCTTGGTACGGTGGCAAAAGGATCTTTCATTATCACATTAGTCAAAATTCCGCGAATGATCCTTATGTACATTCACAGTCAGCTCAAAGGAAAGGTGAGGGGGAAATGCTTTTCTGGCCTTTCTGTGGGCACATTTCAGACCTCAGTTCCACATGCAGTAAAGAACCCAGTAATGTTAAGGCAATGTTGTGAATGTTTTCCTCAAAGTCTTTACAAAGTTCTCCTTTTCTCCCACTCATACACTTCATATGATTTGCTGAACTTCATCTCATCACTGGTTACGGGAAGTGTCCCGAGCTTCTCGTCCTGTGTTCCTCAGAACCTCTTCCTTGTCCTTGACTGTGGAAATAACATGCCTTTCAACATGGTTTAGGCCAAATGCCTCCTCTTCCTAAAAGCCTTTCTTGTATTTTTCCCGTCTCCCAGACCATGTTGTCTCTCTTTTCACCATTCTCATAACACTTAGTACCTATATCGTATTCTAACCTTTTTTATGTGTAGTATTTTTCCCTCCTACTAGATCGTAGGTTCCTTGCTGGTCTTATATACCTCCCTGCATCTTATATGCATAAGATAGGCACTAAATAAATGTTGCAATGGGTACTAAATAAATGTTGGCCCGAGCTGATTAAAAATAATTCAGCCATTACATTTTAAGGAAGAAAAGGGTGGGTGAGGAGGTCTTGAAGCATAGGTTGTGATTTTTACATTTTTGTTTATTTTTCTAATGTTTGACGGCTTCTATCTGATGGTCTGATTCCTTGGGTTTTAATTATTTCAATTTTTCTCCCATCCAGGAAAATGCTTGTGCACGATGTGTGCTGAAATCTTGCATTTGTTGCCTTTGGTGTCTTGAAAAGTGCCTAAATTATTTAAATCAGGTAAAATATTTTAAAAATAAATCTAACATTCACTTTCAAACATAGTTTTATTGATTTTCTCCCAAAATAAAAAAACAATTGAACTTAATTGGAAGATGTTATTTTTGTGTGTGTGATGATGTACATTGCACCTTGGTCAAGTATGTCTATTTCAATCATATTCTTAGTTTTTAAATTAATGTATATTCCTACCAAGGCTTCTTTTTATATTAATCTCAATTTTAACACATGGATAAAACATTATTAGGGTTCATCTTTCAGTAAATACATTTATTTCTTTTCCCTTAATTCACATCCTTTCATTTTTTTATTTTCCCTATGAATCCATCTATTCTAGCTGTCATTCTTTAATTTTTTAAAATGCTGTATGAAAGCTTTAGTTTAGTGTAAAGTATTGTGACACCTACTCCTTTTTTGCAACTGTCTACTGTCATTCAAAACTAGTGTGCTCTCTATGCTGATACTTTTTTGGAGTCTAACTGCTAAACACTATGGTATTGACCTGGGAAATATTACCAAAGGAAGTGCTATTTCCAAGATTAAATGGAGGAGTTGAAACTTATGGGATCAGGGGAGTTCTGAAGGGAGTGGGCCAGTCTTCTGTCTTCTGTATCTGAGCATGTTGGACTCACTGTGGAGCGTTTGTCCTGTCTTTTCTCCATCTCTCTCTTTTTTTTTTTAAACTACTATTCCATTCCCCGAAGATCAGTTCCAATTCCCTCACCTAATAGGCAAAGGATTCAAAACTAGTGTGCTCTCTATGCTGATACTTTTTTGGAGTCTAACTGCTAAACACTATGATATTGACCTGGGAAATATTACCAAAGGAAGTGCTATTTCCAAGATTAAATGGAGGAGTTGAAACTTATGGGATCAGGGGAGTTCTGAAGGGAGTGGGCCAGTCTTCTGTCTTCTGTATCTGAGCATGTTGGACTCACTGTGGAGCGTTTGTCCCGTCTTTTCTCCATCTCTCTCTTTTTTTTTTTTGGGCTTTCTCAACATAATGGGCTTTCTCAACATTTACCTTTAAATGACTGAAGAGTGGCATTGCTCTTTCCATTTACTCCAGGATAGTTGAGGGATGATAGATCTGTGGCCGTGGTGTTGAGAGTGGGCCAGTCTTCTGTCTTCTGTATCTGAGCATGTTGGACTCACTGTGGAGCGTTTGTCCCGTCTTTTCTCCATCTCTCTCTTTTTTTTTTTTGGGCTTTCTCATTCCCTCACCTAATAGGCAAAGGACATAATGGGCTTTCTCAACATTTACCTTTAAATGACTGAAGAGTGGCATTGCTCTTTCCACTTACTCCAGGATAGTTGAGGGATGATAGATCTGTGGCCGTGGTGTTGAGCACGCCTAGACTTGGCTTCATTGAGGTTCTATGGTTAATACGAGAAAGTAGGTATGACTTTTC